TGGCACGTCGGTCTCGACACTTTCTGTACTCGAAGTGGCTTTAGGACCTCGTGGTTCCCTTTTCTTCAAAAAATAGGTGAGCAATAAGCGGGCCTCACTTTCATCCTGTACACCTAAAGCATCCAGGACACGCTCTCGGACACATTGTGAGGTATCCAGTATATTTTCCCCCGCGGGATCCATGGTCTCGTCTGAGATCAGATCCTCCTCTGCTTCTCCCGGAGCCTGCTCGTCGGTCTTTGGCTCCAACTTCATAGTCGTGGGCATGGCTGCATGTATTTTTGTCCTTTCCGGGTCTAAACTAGGAGAGTTCTCATTCGTCCCCTCCTTATTTCCTTCTTTTATTTGCTTCAAGTTATGCGCCTTCTTTCGCTTTTCGGTCGCTCCGGAGTATTTTGTATCCCTCTCTTGGATTGGGATGTCGGACTTTTTTTTAAATGTCTCCGATCCTTGATTTCTTTTGAAATCTTTGCCCTTCTGGCTCTTTTTGTCTGCATCCAGGATTGCTTTCTGACGCTGTGCTTCCACTGCGGCTGTGTCTTCGATGAGTAGAAATCCCGCTTCTTCGGTTATCAATGTTGTCATTCTACTCAAAAGTATCTGCTCCATCACTAAGGCCGTGTCTCTCTCTTGACTGTCGTCGCGGTCATGATCGTAATTGCTGCTTTCTATGCTATTTTCAACCGAAATGTCTTGATTCCCCTGGCCCTCACGGTCCCCAACCACTTTGACAAGGCCGTCATCCCCTGCGTTGAGACCATTTAATCGAGATACACGGTCTGCGGTGTGTTCTTTCTCTTTTTCGAGGATTTGCAATAAGCCGTGCCGCGGAGGAGGTGTCCATTCAAGCCCCAGCCAGTGACCCAAAAGGAGCTCATCAATGGCTACCACCTTCTCCGCTGCCGCTTGTATCTCGCTTTCATGCTGCGCCCACGCCTTGTCGTAGCGATCTCGATCCGCCAGCTCAAAGTGGTGGAATCGATGCTGCAGATCTTTGTATTGTTTTTGCAATCGATGAAGCTCATTGGTTAGTTCCTCGTGTCGCTTCTTCTCCCTCCCGTCGTGCTCCTGATATTTGGTCGTCATTTCCATCACTGCATCTCTCAGCTTTGTCAACTTTTTCTTTTGTTCAGTCAAACTTGCCATTTTCTCTGCCTGACGCGCCATAAGCAGGCGATGATCGTGTATTAATTTTTCATGCTGAACTTGAGTTGCAGCCTTACCGCTCTCAAGCTGTAGATTTGCGGCGTTCCGCTCAGTTTCCAACTGAATTTGAAGTTGATGATGCACATGCCCGTTTTGTACCCTCAAGCTTTCCATTTCTCGTTGGAAATTTTGTTCTCTTTCTTGGGCCTTCTGGTAATGACGGAGCTCCGCGGCGTTGCGCTCAGCTAGCAGCCCATCGATAATGTTGTTGTGCTCCTGAAGCGCTATTTCACGCTTTTCCAACATTTTCTTTTCCAACTGGTTGATTTCAAGCTCATATTTGTCTCGAAGGGATTTGCTATCTTCTTGAATTTTGACGAGTAGATTTTCAATTTCTTGACCGTATCGGGTTAGGGCTTCGACATACTCTTCGTCTTGCTTGGTAAGCCTTGTTTGGGCTTCTTCAATAAATCCATCCTTATTCTCGAGCATTACCGTACACGCCTTGCGCTGGATTATGAGATCCTCATACAGAGTTACCAGGGCCTTAGACTCGTCTATATGCTCAGTGACATCTGCTTCAGGGAGCTCGTCTGGCTTCGAGGTGGAGATGTGGAGAAGATGTTCCCACCGGCGATCAATGTCTTCTTGTCTCATTGCCACCCTATCCGCCTCTTCTTGAAGCAGCTTCATGCGCTCATCCGCACGCAGGCTATTATTGTGGCGAAGCTGCATTTTTCGAGCTTCAGTATTGTGACAGAGTTCTTGTATATCATTCAAACTTGCCTGCATGCGTGCCAAAAAAGCAGCGCGACAATTTGCAACGAGCTGCTTGTGTTGAGGACAGCTTTCCTCCTCTACGGCACTCTCCAAAGACTTTTGCGAATTAGTAACTTCTGGCATTATTATTTACGAGACTATGTTAAAATTGGCTGGCTATGAAAAAAAAAAGTGTGAGCTGGAGATCTATGTAAACCAAAACGTAAATTGACAACAACCGTTACCTTTTCAAAAGTCGCGAACCTGCGATTTAACGGAAACAAGGACCCCGTCGCTGTATACGTCAACTTGCCAAAATTTTCGCGTATATTCTTCTAGATTTCTTTCGTTGACTCTTTATCTATTGTACGTTTAAATAATAACAGTCCCAGGGATCGTCTTGACAATCATGTGGTACGACTAAAAAATGTGACAGGAAGGAGGGAGGAGGTTGTGATACATGTTAGTGAGGCGGATCACATGACAAAGTTTGAACTGTGGGCACGGGCTGTAGCGAGCCAAACTCATACCTATGAATGACAAGTTGTTCTGCTATGCCCTATCAAATTTCTTATTGGAGGCTGAGGTCATCAGCAAGATTCCTTATCCCTTAAGCCCACGGAATGCTCATCCTCCAGAATCGGAAAATGAGGGGCAAAAGGACACCACAGTAAGCAGCGCAAGGAATATCCTCCACCAGTACACATACTGAATCTCAACTGACAGGACGTGTGCTGCTCTCAACACCTTACGTAAGATCTTATCAGCTCCCTTCCACCTGCGCGTGCTTTAGAAGACACGTACCCTCTGAATATCAACTCCATCACTTTCTTTCCTATTTTCGATCTGCTGCTGACGTCACAACTGGACAAACTCGTTTCGACGTCACTGCAGTGGAGCACTCTTTGTAGCACCCTTCCGAGCAAACCGGATCTGACGCAATAGGCAACGGAGCAGTCCCGAATGTCATCGTACAGCTTGGAAGGAAAAAGATTTAAGACAGATAAATTAAGAACTCACAATGCTTCAAGTTTGAATTGCAATTTGTGCTATGCCTCACCCTCCACTGCCCATGACCTTGTATGACCTCGTTCTTGTCCTGTATCGCCTACCTCAAGTCCTCAAAATTGGGCGTCATCGTCACGGGCATGCCCAGGTCCTCCGTGAAGAAAGTTTGCGTGGGTAACTTGCAGATGCTGACGCACGCGCCTTTGCATTGCACACTCTCTAGATACCTGCACCGCTCTATCTTGACGCTGTTAGACCATAGCTCCCGCGCGCCGCTGTTACGGTACCACAGGTACATTGTGCGTGTGTGCGTGGAAAGATATGGGTGGGAAACGTAAAGATACGTGTTGTAGGATTCAATATTAAGCTTCTTATTGAACCGAACGGCCGGAATGATATCGCGATCGTACACCGTCTTCTTCCCTTCCTCCCATCACCACCACTCTACGTGCTCTATCACGTACGTGACCGGGTTCAGCATTTCTGAAGTTTCTACCTTTGCTGGTCCAACCAGCCAGCTGAAAAAGATTGGCGTAACGCGCGCATTAAATTCACAAGCAAGCCGCGACGACCCTGGAAACAAGGCCCGAAAAATAGAGGAAAAGCCCGGGAAGGCGATGGAGCGAAGGACAGAGAGAACGGCAGACTTCGCCTTGGTCGAGCCCCCTCTTAACAGTAACCGAGAGAGACGAACGTATTCCTCGTACGGGATAAAGTTACGGGGAGAGGGTGCACCGACTACAGCCGCAATTTTTCCGGTGAACAAAAATATCCAGATCTTCGCAAATATGTCGTCGTTGTATTTAACCATGCGCTCTGGGGCAAAAGGTTTTGGCTTCAAAGATGAGTTTCCACTATTTTTATTCGTTTGACTGTCTTTACCGCCAAAACCAAAAAGAAATCTGCGGAAGTTGGGAGGTGGACGAGACGCAAAAGGGGACGTAGGCAGGGCAATACGTCTGGTATGTAATGGTGCAAAAGCACACGCACGCCCTATGATGACACACAAGACAATTAAGACGAAAAAATGGGTGGCAATCAGCCGCAAGTGCCTCCTTCTGTAAGTACTCCGTGGTTTTGACCAAGCTGCTGGTATCTCGATCTTGATCACCTCCCGACCCCCGTTGTGGCTTGTTGAGGAAGCTGACGCTCTCTGTGTTGCGCTGACCACACAAAGGCTGCTGGAAGGAAAGTCCCGGCCTCGGACCCGCACGGCTCTTTCCATTTTGCCTGTGAATGCCCTGGTCACGGGTGAGTGGACGATGGACGTGTGAATGTGCCTGGATCGCCACGCAAGACCTCTCGGGGGGGGGTCTATGGGCGCTCTCCAAAGGAACTCAGCGAGGAGTTTCGTCGTCTGTCTGGACACATATCCCACGCCCGAGAATTCCCACGCTGTCTCCCAGGACTGTGGATGCCTCTCTGCACCTGACAGTGTTGAAAATGAGGCTGTCTGGGAAATCGATTTCCTTGGTATGCACCACATGTGGCCGTTTTTCCTCGGGATGATTTAACTTGATGAGGGTAAGGGGGTGCTCATCGTGCATAAGCCTGTCTCACTTCGCTCATACCCCTACCTTATTCTACGTCGGGCATTCTGGATATCACAGGATTTTCCTTCACGGTACTGGGACACACCTACAAACTGGGCTGATCGCCTTGCCTCGTCCGTGGGCGTTTCCTGCTTTCGAGTCTCTAGCATCTCCTGCGCATCATGGCCCCATCGGGCCTTCCCGCCGTCTCATCCATCGAGACATCATGCACGGTGCTCTTCCATACCGAAAAGGCATCTGCAGTGCAACAGGAAGAAATCATGAGGGATTTGGAGAATCCGGACGTGAAGTACAAAATTCAGGCCTTGAAGCAGACCATCATGCTGCTCCTGTCAGGAGAGAATCTGCCACGCGTTTTGATGAGCGTGATACGGTTCTGCAGTAGCACAAATGATCACTTGCTCAAGAAGCTTCTGATGCTTTACTGGGAAGTGGTTCCCAAGTACGACGGAACGTCCAAAAAGCTCTTGAGTGAGATGATTCTCGTGTGCAATGCCCTCCGGAACGACCTCAACCACCCCAACGAGTACGTCAGAGGCTCCATGCTCCGTTTTCTCTGCAAGTTGCGCGAGCCCGACCTTTTGGAGCCCCTCATCCCCTCCATCAAAGCCTGTCTGGAGCACCGTCATTCCTACGTGCGGAAGAACGCGGCCTTGGCCATTCTGAACATCCATCGCCACGTGTCCTCCGACCTTGTCCCAGACGCCCCGGAACTCATGCAACAATTCATTCAGACGGAGACCGACAGCGGCGCACGTCGCAACGCTTTTCTTTTCTTGTGCTCTGAGGCTGAGCTCGTGGCCATCCAATTCTTGACGGAGCACTTGGACGAGGTTCCCAGGTACGGAGACGGTTTTGCCCTCCTTGTCTTGGAGTTGACCCGAAAAGTTTGCCGAAAAGATCCGGCGCAGAAAGCCCGATTCGTGCGGGCGCTCTTCAACCTGCTGCAGTCGGACAGCGCCGCTGTCTCGTACGAAGCGGCTTGGACGCTGGTTTCCCTTTCTTCCGCCCCGACCGCCGTTCGGGCCGCTGCCAGCACGTACGCTCAGCTTCTCAACAGTCAAAGCGACCACAATGTGAAGCTCATCGTGCTGGAGCGTCTCGCCAGCCTCAAACAAGGACACACTCGGGTTGTCCAGGAGAATTTGATGGACATCTTGCGCGCCTTGGGGTCGCCGAACCTGGATATATGCCGGAAGACCCTGGAGGTAAGGGGTGGCCTGACAGAGGAAGAGGGGCCTCGGCCCCAGGGCATGTCCCCATGCTCGCCACCTCGGGAGGCATGACGCTGATGATCGGAGTATTCATGTAGGCTGGCGTCCAAGCATTGGCGTCCTGTGCACACTCACGAACGAACCTCCCTCTGCATCCCTCCTCCCTCTTCTGCCCTCCTCCCCCCTGCCCTTCCTCCTCCCCCCTCCCCAGGTGGCCATGGACCTCGTCAGCCCCCGCAACATCGAAGAAGTGGTGGTAGTCTTGAAACGCGAAGTCCTCCGCACACAGGAGGGGGAACAGGAGAAAGCCACCGTGTACCGCAGCATGCTGATTCAAGCCATCCATACCTGCGCCGCCCGCTTTCCAGAAGTGGCCGATGCCGTCGTCCACGTGCTCATGGACTTCCTCTCGGGAGACGGGGCCCTGGACGTGATCGTCTTTGTCCGGAGCATTATCGAGCAATACCCGGCCTTCCGCCCCTCCATCCTGAACAAGCTCTTGCAGTCCTTCGCCTACATCCAAGGGAACACCGTGCTGGGGGTCGCGGTCTGGATTTTGGGGGAGTATGCGATGGAGCCCACCCTCCGAAAGGAAGCCTTTGACTGCCTGTTGGCCAACGCCGGGCAACCCCCTTACCTGCCAAAATCAACGCCTGCCATGAAAGAGGGTGTGGGGGAGGGAGGGAGGGAAGGAGGCAATGCGCCAGGGCAGCAGTTGGTGAGCAAGAGTGTGGTTTTGGCGGATGGAACCTACGCGACACAAGTGGCCATGGTCCCTGTTCCTGGAGGGGCGGGGAGTGGGAAGCTGGGCGCCGAGGACAAGTCGTCGCCTGCCTTCCGTCGAGCGCTCTTGGAGGGGGACGTGTTTCTGGGGGGGTTGCTGGTGTCCTCTTTGACGAAATTGACGGTGCAGGCATTGGAGACGGCGGGGCCGTTAGACCCAGAATGCAAGGAGATGCAAGCCAAGACCTTGCTCGTGGCGTGCGGGGTGGGGAGGATGGCGGAGGTGAAAGCCCAGGGGAATGTAGGCGCTTACGCGGATGTGTTGGAGCGGATCACCGTCTGTGCCCGTGTCTTGCTGGACCCCGACTCCCTGTCCCTGGTGAAAGATACGCTCCTGACCAAGTGCAAGATGAGCTATGCTGCATTCTTGAAATTCAAACAGGAAGAAGCGGCCAAGTCGGACAAGGCTCGGCAGGGGGAAAAGGAAGGGGGATTGAGTGCCTTACCCGACGCGCTCATCAACTTCAGGCAACTAAGGCATTTCGGAGTGCAAACGGGAGACTTCGATTTATATGACGGAGAGGACATCCAACGGGCCACGGGCGCCGGGGCGGTGAAAGACGAGGTGGGCGATTGGAGCAAGCGGCTGGCGCACGTGTATCAATTGAGCGGTTTAGCAGACCCGGTGTACGCGGAGGCCTACGTAACTGTGCACGACTACGACATCGTCTTAGAGATCCTGGTCATCAACCGGACCAAGGCGACATTAACGAATCTGACGGTGGAGCTCGCGACCATGGGGGATTTGAAGCTGATCGAGCGGCCCCAGTCTCACACCATCGGCCCGCAGGACCAGCGGATCATCCGGGCGAACATCAAGGTCTCGAGCACGGAGACGGGCCATATCTTTGGGACGATCGTCTACGAGAACAGCAGCACGGCCGAGAAGGGTACTGTGAATCTGAACGACATTCAGGTACGGAGCAAGTTGGCGGTTGGATGTGCGTGTTTTCCCCCGAGAAAGGAATTTATCCGTAGGCCCTCTGGGGAGAAGATGTCAATCAGTTGATCGCGTGTTTTGCGCCCGAGTTTATCAGTGGATGGTATCCCACCCATCGAATTTTGTTCACTGGTGTATGTGATAGGATTTGGCTGGGCTCCTTCCTCATCCGCCCGTTACTCCCCCTTTCTCCTTCTAGATGGACATCATGGATTACATCCGCCCTGCCTCCTGTTCAGACGAGGCCTTCCGGGCCATGTGGGCGGAGTTTGAGTGGGAGAATAAGGTTGCTATCAACACCACCTTTTTGGATTTGCAAGCTTTCCTCACGCACGTGGTGAGCAGCACGAACATGGAATGCCTGACACCAACCTCCTCCCTGTCCGGCGAGTCTGCCTTCTTGGCGGCGAATTTGTACGCGAAGAGCGTTTTCGGGGAAGATGCTTTGGTCAACTTGTCCGTGGAGAAGAAGGATGACGCGGACGGTCGTCTGAGTGGTTACGTGAGGATCCGCAGCAAAACTCAAGGAATTGCCTTGTCCTTGGGGGATCGTATCACGGCGATCCAGCGGGTGGGCGACGTGCAGGAGGAAATTGCGGCGTAGGAGCCATGCCCGCGGGAAACGGGGGATATGAACGGGGGGTTGGAAGTACGTGCGAAGGGCGGAGAAAGGGAAGCGCTAATGTGGGGAGGAGAGGGGAGGGCTGGCTTGAGGAAGACAGGAACGAAGACGCGCGTTTCGAAAATGTGGCGAGGAGAGAGACAGAAAGATTTGGAGGGAATTGAGGTAACAAATTGAGGAATGCCGTCCCAGCCATTTGGATGACGGAGATACGAGCAATATGAAGACTTTTGTTAGCACGGAGCACATGCCCGCTTTGTCTTCGACGCGTTTTCTGACAAGCGACGTTTCCCACGGTCGAAGATTTCATTTCTTATTCGTATCCGTAAGAACACTTTGCCTAAAAATACAACCGTTCTCTGATCTGACTCTCCTAATCCTCGCACGCCCCCCCTCACCAAGAGAAAGTATGCACCACATCGTTGCCCTGAACCTGCACTGCATACGTCCCTTCTTTCTTTCCCACCCCCTGCAGGTAAGCGCGAACGGCCTTGCCTTCGAAGTCATTCAGCAACGGCTCGTTCCTGAACATCAAAGACTGTAAGCTCCACAGATTCGCTGGGGCCCTGCTCGTTACCTTCAACTTCATCCCTTGCCAGGCTGCCCCCCCTTTTCTTGCCCCTTCTTTCTCCGCGAGCATTTTGACTTCGCCACCTTGATTGAATTGTTTTGCTGTAAACAAATCTACGATTCTTTTGACATCTTCCACGACCTCCTCCACCCCTACATCCCCTCCTCCTCCGCCCCCTCTCCCTGATAATCTTGGCGCGTATACCTCCGGTGCTTCCAAAAGCCTCTGCAGAATCCTGTCCCCCACCCTTCTTGAGTGTTCAGCCGGCAGCAAGGAATTGTCTTGCGGAAGAGAAGGATCATCCGACCGCCGGACTACTCGTTTCTCCCCCTCGGCGGAGACGAGCTCGACAAAGGCCAGCTTGCCATGCCGCATTTCCTCGTTGAGGGTGCAATATTGGGCGAAAGAAATGAAGTCGAAGTAGGACGGTTGCGTTAACTCCCCTTGCCGCACAGAGAGAGGGGGGAATGCCCCCACGTAGTCTTCCCATTCTGCCTACAATTGACAAGTGACGTATTTGTTGGTAAAATTCAAGCCATGTGCTATTAGTCTGAAGACAATGTGCCATTATCACATTATTCACATATTGCTGTGCTCTATACTCTGCATTTCCACACTTGCATCGTATCGAAGGATGGGGCCGCAAAGAGAATTTCGCCCTGCTTATGTTGTACGAGCCTCTGGGCACGAGCAGGGGACCTCATCAATCACGTGTTTTGAAACACTTACCTGCCGAAACGTGAAAAAGTCTTTTTGAAAATCGTTCATAGGTACAAAATCTAATTCGTCCGCAACCTCATAGGAGGAGCGCATGAGTAAAACAGCCAGATCCCTCTCGATCTTTAAGCGTAGACCCTGATACGGCTGCGGCCGAAGCTTCAATTCGGCTTGCCGACCAAGCCATTCAAAGTAGGTAGGCCCAGACCGTTCTGCATTAAGAGCGGTACAATGGTAGTCACCACGGATGGAGAAGGGAGAGTGGATCATCGGGAGCGCGGCTTCCCGGATGGATGAGCAGGAGGAGAATTGGGATACGAAAGCGGATGCGAGGGCGGGGGAAGTTAACCATAAAAATAGACCCGCGAGGTAGGTGTACTGCTGGGACAGCTTTCCAACATCGCTTTTATTTCTTGTGCCACTTTTCAGGTGACGGCCACGGAAAACAGGCATGTATATTAAGGCTGCCAAGCGCCACACGAGGTCCGACCTCACGCTGGCTTTCAGCACTCCGGAGACTCCTATATAGGGGATCCGTGGCCGCAAATCTGGGCGGAAAAACCAAAAATCCGACACACGTAGAACAAAACCTGTTTCATAGTGTGTCGTTTAGTTTTCACCAAGATGCATTGAATTTTGCGCACAAAGAAGACGTCAAGGCCTCGGGCAGTCTGACCTCCTCAGTCGCCATCGCCCTCTACCAACGTCGAGGTTTCCCCCACAAATCACCTTAGCGCGGTCACCCCTACTTTTGGGGAAAAAGCATCTTCGCCTCACCTGTATTTTACATTCGTATGGACAACCAGATCGAGCACAGTAGATACATTGGGTGCCTGTGAAGCCATGGCAAGTGAGTTGAACGAGGAGGACATCCCAGCGTCAGCGGGGCCCACGAGCAAGCCTGCCGAAGACGAGGCCTTGAGCATGGCAACTACAACAAAAAGTGATACAAACACCTCAGCCGCGCTAATTTGCACGTTTCCTGCATCGATGAAGGTAAGTGGATGTATTTTTGCGGTTGAAAATCTCCTTGCTCCTTTTTTCGTGGACGCAATGCGTCTCTTTAAGTACCTTGTCCTCCTGCAATACTTCAATTCTGAGATAGAATTTTGCCGCCTAGTGTATAACATGACATAAACAACAAAGCGCCTTATGAACGATGTTTTAATTTTTGTATGATTTCAGCTCCCTAGTATCTGTGACCTGTCCCTCTCAGGTGCCTTCCTGCTCCTGGACTCGCCATGCTTACCTCGATCGTTCCCTCCCTCTTTCTGTCAGGCGGAGCTCAAACGCCTCCTTCGTGCCTATCACCATTGCCTTGTCACCCGTCCAGTACTGACCAAGGCCCTGACCAGCGCCGTAATCTCCGCCCTGGGAGACATCTTAGCCTCTTCCGGAAAAGGAGGCAGGGGACGGAGTGGTCGCCGGACCCTGGGGTTCTTCCTTTTCGGAGGCCTGGTCACCGGGCCTCTGTGCCATTACTGGTACGGCCTGTTGGAGAAGAAGGTGCGGGGCTTGCAAGGCGGCAAGAACGTGGCGATGAAGGTGCTGCTGGACAAGCTCCTCTTCACCCCTCCCTTCCTGGCTCTGACCCTCTTCCTTCTCCGCTTGCTCGAGAGCGGGCGGCCGGGGGCGGCTTGGCGAGGAATGAAGCAAGTCTATTTCCCCACCTTGAAGACGAATCTCCAGGTGTGGACTGTGGCCCAGGCGATCAATTTCTCGTACGTATCCCCCGCCTACCGGGTACTCTTCGGCAACCTGGTGGCCTTGTGGTGGAGCTTCTACTTGTCCCGGCTGGGGGGGGGCGCGGGGGGGCGGGCCTCGTCGGTGGTATTGATGCGAAAAAGGTATTGAGGAAACGGGAGACTTCGATT